GGATTTATTGGCATTCCTAATATAAAATATTATTATGCCTTTCTGTTTTTTGTTTATATTATTTCTGTTCTGGCAAACACAGCTGTCATGGCCGCAATATATTTGGATCACAATCTAAGAACACCGAAATATATTGCAGTTTTCAATCTTGCATTGGTTGATCTGTTAGGTAACTCTGCCATGGTGCCAAAGGTTCTCCATATCTTTTTGTTTAATCACCCCTACATTTCCTATAATGACTGCTTGACATTCCTGTTTTTCTGCTATATATTCCTTTCAATGCAAGCTCTAAATCTGGTTGCACTGTCATATGACAGAGTTATGGCGATCGTTTACCCACTGCATTATCAACTGAAGGTGACTCACAAGCTCATGTTCTCTTTAATTGCCTCTTTCTGGGTATCGGCCATTACTTCTATACTAATTGCAATTGGCCTTCTTACTAGGCTTTCCTTCTGTGAATCAGTTGTTATTAAAAGCTATTTCTGTGACCATGGTCAGATGTACCGGCTTGCATGCAATGATTTTACACCCAGCTATGTAATTGCTAAGATTTTGCCAGCTCTTATTCTTTGGCTTCCTCTTACAATTGTTTTGTTGAGTTATTTGTGTATCTGCTATGCTTTAGCTAAGGTAGCCACAGTTCGAGAAAGAATGAAGGGCTTTAAAACCTGCACAGCTCATCTTTCATTAGTGGCAATCTATTTCCTCCCAATATTAATCACATTTACTCTAGGTGCAAACATAGAGCCAAATGCCAGAATCATAAATCTGTCTCTGACCTCAGTCTTTCCTCCAATGCTGAATCCTATCATATATGTTCTTCAGACACGAGAAATCAAAGAATCTCTGAGAAAGTTGTTAAGAATCATAAAACACTACAAAATTAGAAAGGTCAAATGAAAAAAGTGTAAACTTCCTTTTTTTCATGTTAGTCTTTTGATTTAGTGTTTTTATTATTTAAGGAATGACTATGAAATTAAAAAAGGCTCATATGTTGCAGTACTTTGAAACAGAACAGAAGTGGTACATTCAATATTCACAGTGCAAATTGTGGTTGATTTTAAAACACATCACCTAGCAAAGAGGTAGATTTTTTTTTTTTGAGGATTTGGAAGGTATGTTTCTGTGCATCACATATCTCTGTCTTCAAAAATGTTGTATTTGTGTTTTGCCCTATAGTAGAAGAAAATGACAACACATATGATGCAAATAATCAGGGATACATCATATTTCCATTTTAAAAGGAGTGTTTTCAAATTCAGTTCATGTGCATCAAGTTAAGGTAATGTCTCCTGTCAGGGTCTCCTGATTATGAACTCTTCTGAATTTAATGATGAGAAATTTTTTGTGTACTTGACATTATCTTTTTGAGGCTATATAGATTTAGAATTTCGGACTTTGCTTAATATTGTGTGAACGCAATATTAGCGTGGGCCTTGAGCCAGCTGTGTACCTCTAATACTTTATTAGGGCCAGCATAGAGCAACAGGCAGCTATACATCACTCATTCACAACTATGGCCAGTTTATACAGACAGTTTATACACATACACACAGTTTATACAGTACTAGTTACTTTTAAATGTACGAAAAAAAAAAACAAACCCTGAAAGAACCCATGCACATAGAAACCCCACATTGAAAGGCCCCAGCTGAGGCTCAAACATCACCTGGTGACAGTGTCAGTGACGACTTTGGTCAAATGTAGGAGTTGCTTTTTAAAAATGTAACTGCAGTATATATTTATTGTTTGAAATATATTTATTGTTGTTCAAACAGGTATGCATAAAAGCACTTTTTTCTGTGTTACACTTTGTTGTTGTACTTTGTTCTATCAGCTGTCCTTAAAATTGTAGCTGTAAAAATACACTGCCTGTTTTATTGTCTGCTCTGAGAATGTCAGTACATTTTTGTTTCTTTGTCTTCCAGCTTGTAAATAATTATGTATGTTAATCAAAAAGTTTATAGTGATTAGAAGATTTTTGATCAATTTTATAGCCAGGATTGATCAGGTGACCCTAGGCCGTCCCTTCGTTGTGCTGCAAAAGGCCTTAGCAGCTGGGGGCCTTCTCATGATGCACGGAATGTTATTCTTCACTCACCTCTCCTACTCTGTACACCATCCATATCATTTATTATGATTAATTTCTGGCTCCTCTACACAGTATGTATTTTGATATGGCTCTCTCCCCTCAACACTAACTGGTCGCGACAAATGGCTGCTCCTCCCTGAGCCTGGAGGTTTCTTCCCGTTAAAAAGGAGTTTTTCCTTACCACTGATGCTGAGTGCTTGCTCACAGGGGCTCGTCTAATTCTTGGTGCTTCTCTGTCTTAATGTATAGTATACAGTATTAATAATAATAATAATAATAATAATAATAATAATAATAATAACAACAACAACAACAACAACAGCAACAACAACAATAATGGATTGCATTTATATAGCACTTTTCGAGACTCTCAAAGCACTTTACAATTCCACTATCAGAATCAGAATCAGAAAGGGTTTATTGCCAAATGTTGAGCAGGTTTACAACATTAGGAAATTGCTGCGGTACTTAGTGCAAGACATACTGTCCGATAACGCTTAAATAAACATAAAAATTAAAATTAAAAGTGCTAAGTAGATAGATATATACATGAGTGCAGGTGGTGATCAGTGCCAAACATGGAATGATGCAGTGAACACAGTGTAGGGTCATGTGTTAGTGGTGGGAACAGTCATATGGTTATTGTTCATGAGTCCAACAGCAGAGGGGAAGAAACTGTTCTTATGGCGAGAGGTTCTGGTGCGAATGGACCGGAGCCTCCTGCCTGAGGGGAGCAGGTCAAACAGACTGTGTCCAGGGTGAGAAGGGTCAGCTGTGATCCGAGCTGCACGCCCCAGTGTCCTGTAGGTGTACACGCTGCAGTCTCTGCTTGTCCCTGATAGTGGCTCCAGTGTACCACGCGGTGATGGAGGAGGTGAGGATGGACTCAATGATTGCAGTGTAGAAT